TTTTTTCTTAATTCTAGTGTATTTTGATTTTAGGGGGGAATTTTTTTTTTTACTATGTTTTGATTTTTTTTTTATACAGTATGACGTGGTTACATCAAACCATTAATCATAGCTTTTGGCTCATTTACTTGATTATTGTGTTAAGATATTTATGTTCTACACTTGACAGATTTGATTGCACCCTTACAATACGTATCATCGGTGTGGTCCCTCTTTTACCCTCCCTCTATCGAACCCCGCCTCTCCCCTTCCTTCTCACTCCATTTCTCTCCTTCCTCCTGGGCTCTAGTTGTGTTCTAGCTTTCATTACAAAGTGTTAGTAAATATAAATAGGTTTCATAGAAGTACTGAGTGTATTGGATACTTTTTCCTCCATTCTTGAGATACTTTACTTAGGAGAATATAAAATCAAAAAGTAACAAAAGTTTATATTCTTTCAAATGAAAATCAGTTCAGTTTATAATTTTTTTGGTTTGTATTGCTTTACTACTGTTTTATTCACTAGTTAGAAAAAAAATCTTAATGTTGAAGAGTGAAAATTTTTAAAACAAATCTGTAATGGCTTAATATATTTCGAATATTAGTAAGGAGTAGGAGTAGGGTATGTATATTGGCTTGTTTTTGAAGACACGGATACTAGGCTAAAGCTGGAGACTTGAGGACATGCGGTTTTACAGAGGAGCCTAAAGTCAGATTATGACTGAGTTTGGACACTATATTAAATATTATAGTTTGGACCTAGTCCTCAAAGTCTAAAGAAAATAGCTGTGCAACAGTATTAATATTTTAATAAATTAATATAGTAATAACTAAAGTATCCAAACGCTAAATTAATATTATTTAATATTTTGGTATAATAATTTTGTCTTTTTTTTTAGTTTTTTGAGTTTTGTTTTTCAATTTTTTTTTATATGAAAGGCTTCATGAATTTACGTGTCGTCCTTGCATAGGGGCCGCGCTAACCTTCTCTGTATCGTTTCAATTTTAGTATGTGTGCTGCTCAAGTGAGCACTGGTTTTTGATTATTAAAATGTATTTACTTTTAACATAATTTGAAGGAGAGCAATACATAAACTAAAGGATGTCTACCTTACTTATTTGTTGAGTTTGATTTCCTTAGAGAAAGAAGTTAAATAAATTACAAAGTGGCAATTGCGTCTTGTAACTGCGGTTGAACATTTGATGCCACAGAAACTAAAATTTACCTGAGACACTGATTGACACACTTGGGGCTATCCACAAAATTATTTTGTTAACTGTTCTCTTCAGAATAGAAATAGAGATTTTTAGTATTCTGTAGACAATCACCTAAATTTAATTATAGCAAAAATTAAAATGCTGAAAATAACAAATAATATTGCTAATTGCTTAATATCTGCCAAGCACCATAGTAAGTCCTTTACGTCAGTTCATATTAATTTTATTGTCACAGAGAAGAATTCTAAGAAAGAACTAGCAGCGATTTGATCTCCCTGCACACTACCTCTTATACTGGCTGAAACAAAAACACTGTTAACCTTTTCTCAAGATTAATACATTTGTATATAATTGGACATTCAGTAGAGCAGAATTGTCTCATTTATGCATTATCAGACTCTCTTTCATCACCTTTATATTTTTATTACATAAGCGTCTAGGAAATGCAGCAGTCTAGGGGAGCCCTATTCTGGGATCTATCTCACTGCCAGTAGGGTGTGAAAACAGGGCAAGATTATAGGAGGAATACTCCCATGTTTTCTAAGGGAGAATATTGAAATTTTGTATTCTTTCCCCACTGGATCAGGAAGCTGCTAATCCTTGGGCTTTCTGTCTTATTCCTTGATTTCTTACAAAATGTAGATTCTGTGGCAATATAGCAATTCAACATTTAATGATATCTTAAATAGTTATTTAAACATCTCTTGATATCATTCATACTTTATATTTTCCTATAGTGTGTTCACGCCTTTAAAGACAAGTGCTAAGTGGTCCATCTTTACGGAAAAACAGTGGCCTATGAAAATTTTATCCTTGAGCCCTGCACCTGGAAGCAAAAATCTCAAATTTGAAACTTTCTCAACATGTATGTATTTCTTTCTGTTGTTCCTCATTTCCTCCATTTGTCTAAGCTTATCCCTGTTCTGTGCTCTTCTTAGGTGGTTTTATCTTCATTGCTGTTTTCTGTTTATATGTAACTCATATTTCTCTCAGTGCTAGGCCTGACAAACCAAAAGATTACTTTGACTTGTTGTAACAGAAGCAAAGTCCTAAAGAAGAGCAAGACTGTTTTACAAGCTGTCTCTTTGAAAACCCCTCATTCTTTTTAGGAAATTTTATAAAACCTTCATTCCTGTCCAATGCTAGTAATCAGAGGGGAATGGGAGGGTTTGGGTTTTTTGTTTGTTTCTTTGTTGTTTTTGGTCCCACTGGAAATGGCTTAACAGATTATCCAGGCAGAGATCACCAGTTTGTCTTCTCTGGAGATGGGGTCAATCAGGACCATCAACCACACTTAAGTCAGCAATAGCTCCCCACCTTTGAAAGCTCTGTGTTTCTCCTTACAGTTAGAACAATGGTACTTTAAGATAAGAGATTGACAATCTCCTCCTTTGCTGGAAAATTAATAAACTTCTCTTTCCTTCTCCTCAAACTGCTTGTCCTCATTCTTCATTCTGCTGTGGGGACAGTACTAACTTGCAGTAAAATAGCTGTTCGGAAATCCAGGGATGTTTTTAAGGGAAGGAATTAATTCTCTACTCCTGTTAATTCTTTATATGTGTAGGAAGGTCCATTAGTGGACCACCTCCTGATCTCTCTCTGCCATCTGATTTTGTAACAAGGAAAATGAGGCAGTGTTTATGATCTGTAAACCAGGAAACAAACAAATATAAAAATCAAATGTAGGCCAGATTCTGCTTGCTTTCTACTGGAATCAGGGAATCATCAGAGAGCACGCTGTTTCTTTTGCTGCATCCCTAAACCTCCCCTATGTGTTATGTGCTCTCATTTCATTGCCACACAACAAAATAGAAGACAAAACATAAACTCTGATATAACAACAGAATAGAAACAAGTTTTTAGACTGCAATTTGCTTTCCAGCTGCTTGGGAGGCTGAGGCAGGAGACTCGCTTGAGCC